TTTGTATGTACCTAGCGCTTGCTAGCAACGCAGTATCATAGCTGCTAATCAGAATGAATGAGCCAATGAAAACAAAATGCGAAAAAGTTCTGAAAAATAGAAACCTAATGAAAGCTACGTGAACGTCTTCGGAATTAAAAAAGTTTTTCTGACCGACCCCCAAAGGACCCTCGAACGCAATGCCATTTGCAGTGAAAGTAATTGACATTTTATTCACACAAGTTCGCTTTTGACGCTAATTATTGCCAAATAAACGAATAGAAAAAAATACTTATTTCAATTTAACTTTCTTGCGCTTACTCACCACTAATCAATTTAAAAGAATTCTGTTAAACATCAAGTGAACATTGCAGCTGCCGTTGGTTATTTCTGCTTCTCAATAAGTTTCTGGTAAGTAGATGCTGGAGTAAGACATCCGAAGGATCTGAAAATATGAAGGTAAAGAAAATTATCTATAAATTTATTTCAGAGTTATATTTATGAACGAAATTCAAAAGAAAGCATAAAAGAGTTGGAGCATATTTCAAGGGAACATATTTGTTTCTTTTATTCTCCTAGTGAAATTTTCCGGCGAATAATTTTCTGGATCGGTTTAACCCTCAAGCCACCTCACAAATGCCATTTTATTGAAACTTTCCAAAAAAAAAAGGGCCAAAACGAGCCTTTTGTGACAGAGCTAATGGGTTAAAATATTCTACAAAATTGTTTCTACTGAAATCTTACTATATGTATGTGCCCAAACTAAATATTTCGCTTCGATATCAATTATTATTAATATGGCCATAAAATAGATTTTACTTGAGAATGCAAAATTATTTGGAAGCCATAATATATGGGTCTAGGTCTTTTATTCTGTGTGGCATGTACTTAGAAGGTGCGATTCCTTTATGGTGAAGGTTCCTATGGCAGGCGGTTTGTTGTCCTTGTTGGTGGAATGATTACACGGCTTACCCAAGAGATACGATGGATGGCGTAAGGTAAGGTAAAAAAGCTGCCGCGATGAGGATGAAAATAAATCACTACTATACTCAACGTGTTTAGTTTCTCTCTGAACAGGAATCCGGATACTCACTCACAGCGGGCAATCTTAAAGCACAACTAGACATGTCTCCGAGTCAAAGTGTGAACTCTTCATAGAGTCTTTCCTAGCCTAACCTAACCTAACCTAACTTTAGTCTCAAAAATTTAGTTAATCCATTTAGACTCTATTCGTTTCAGAATATAGATATTTTCTAAAAGGCTCTCAGCTAATTCAACATTTCCCTCAAAGCAGAAGCCGATTGGATATCACAGTCACATCTACCACAGACACAGTCAAGTGTTTAAACTATGTACGACAATGGATGCTGGCCAAAGCAGCCCACAATTTGCCTTGAGTCCCGCCTGCTCGTAGAGAAGAATGAACTATTTAGATATTCTGAAATTGAGGACAACATGCAGTCCTTCATCAAACAAATGATCAGAATTTCTTCTTTTCGAATAACAACTAAAGAGAACTCCGTTAAAACTAAAGGAAACGAAACTGCTTAATCTTTGGCTTCAAATGAAGATAAAAACACTAGTTTTGGTTTAGTTTGCGGAAAGAAAATTCCTGCAACATAAAACCTCAATCATTTTGAGTAACAGGTTTGAAAAACGGGCCCGCGATAAAACAGGCCACATCGACCGCTTAAACCCGGTGGTAGATACCTACCAGAGTTAATAAAAAACTAGGCTGCTTAGTAACATTTAACTCATAACTACCTATTGCTCCAACGCCCCAAGTGTAGAAAAGGACTTATTGGTCAATGATCGCTTCTATCATATTCTGTTCTCAGTTTTAATCGAAGGCTGTGCAAAGCAGGAATCTTTGTTCCAACTTTCGAAAATCTTAGCCTCTACGATGTAAAGTCCGATAAAGGAACTCGCAGCCACCGAGATAAATTTGAGGAAATAGAACTTGAACTGAGAACCAAATAAAAACGAATATGATATCGATTTGCTACAATCAGAAAACCTTGACTAACTTTAATGTGAATAAATTTTATATGGTTTGCTGTTAACTAACGTATCCTAATTAAAACAAAAAAAATCTCAACAAATCGATTGCCAACTGCTTCTTTCTTGTACATTCTTTTCTCTCATCATGCACTTCTATCCAAATTTGTTCACATATCTAACAGATGACATATTCCTTTAATGCTCAAAGCTATGAGAATTCCCACTCCTTTGAAGAAACACACGTTCAAATGTACATGCATATATTTGCAAAAACACCCAATACTATTGTTTGAACATGAGCTATTTTTCACGCAGGCAAACAAAGCGACCGCAAAAAAAAAATAAATAAAAAAAATACACTCATTCTATTATTATAAACACGTACAAAACTAAAACGAAAACAATACGAAAACAAAACAGCATACAAAACACATGAAAATATATGCAAACAGCCACAATACAGTGCATCCAAAGGCATTTGCAAACACGCAAACGCTCGACAACGCTCATTTGACCATTAGCTCGCTGCCGCCAGACTATGCAAAGCCAAAATTGGCCAAACAAGTCACGTGCTGGATATGCGTAGCGTGTGCCCAGCAGAAAAGCAAAGCCAAAGGAAGTACATATACCCGGCGAGGATGGCTACAACTGCACTTATAAATGTTAGCTGAGCTAGGTTTTAATGAGCAACCCTGCTCAAATATTCAAGCGAATAAAACTGTAAACATTCATTTACGTTTGATTTGAAATCCCATGCTTAATTATACCTAATTTTTATACATATTATTTATTTATTCATTAATTACAGACTACGCGGCTCTACAAGACAATTGGCAGAGACGCTTCTAAACCAAGTCGGTGAAAAAAGTTGACGCGTAAAAGTAGGATACCTACATCTACATGGCATCCTAATCTGTCTGGCATCGAAAGCGAAGTGTTGGTCTCTAAGGCCGGATCACCCCAATTGCGTGATTGGGAAAATAGTAAATTATGTGTTGCATCAATCGTGTGAATGCTAAAGACATACTCGTTTCAGGAAGGTTTTTAAAATTTTTTGAAACATAAATAACAAACAACTATTTATTTCAAATAAAATAACATAAATCGTTTAAATTATACTTGACTAAACAAAATTAGACTTCACAAAATGGAACATTTAAAGCACAATTTGTTTTAATGAAATTCAGTTTCTTATTTTTTCTAAATTGCTTTGTTAATTTTTTTATGCATTGAAGCATTTTTTCAAATAAATCTTTATGCCTTAAAATATCCGAGTTCTAGTTTACTTCTTATTTTATTCAAATTGATTTAGGAAAATATTCTTTCCACATTTGTTGAGGTAGCTGGAATACAAAGAACAGCTGAAACAATTTTTTTTTTTTTCAAAAGAAGAGACGCTTCTCCCTCATCGTATTTTAAAAACTATGAGGTTGTCTAAAAAACACTGTAATTTACCGTTAATTTAAATTCAATATTTTTGCATCGAATTGACTTACTGGGCTTGTCTCAAAGTGATCAATATTCAAGTTTTCTAAGTGCGGACTTAATGGAAGGAAGTCAATGGAAGCAAAATACAAATTTTCAGTTCCTACAGGGTATTTGCATGTGGAAATGTTCTGGGTCGCGAAGTTTTTTTTTTTTTTGGCGCACATACATACTTCTGCTCTTTTTGGCGACTAGTGGCTACAACAAATATAACTACATACATGCATAATATAAACATATTTACACGGATTATGTGGATAAAAATATAATGGAATGGGCAGCTAAAATTAAGTGATGGACGAACATTGAGAGTACGAATTCAAAGACCAATTTTTATTTAAAGATTTTGCTTATCCCCGACTGGTGTAGATTTTTTCGCCACTGAAATGTTTCTTCAAACAGAGACGTGAATCGGTTTCAAACCGTTTTTTTTTTTTCTTTAAATTAACAGAACCGAAATTTTACACATATGTACTTATGTTTAATCCGACCTGAAAACCGAACCACTCTTTATAGAGGTTTCGACATAACCTCGACGGGCATAATTTCCACCGAACCGTGACATAAGTTCTATGGAAGTTATGTCGTGAAATTACTACCATCGATGGATTTTTGCTCCATGGAAGTTAAGTCTGACATAACTTCCACAGATCTGATTCATGAAAGTTATGTCTGACATAAGTTCCGTGATAATTGTATATTAAATGAACCGTTCACTGCACAAATTGATGAACTCCAATTTTTAATGGCCAGGAAAGCGGGTGTAAGGCGATCTAGTTTTTTATAATGCTACTGAAAACGCTAAAGTGTACATAGTAACAATATTTTTTTGTTTTAATTTTTTTCTTTATTCGGCTTACCAAACAGCCATCATCAGGTAGGTAGGCATTCGCCAAGACTTCACTTGACAGCAAGTCGAGGTATTTAGCACAAAACAAACGACACTTGATTAGTTCTTCAACCATTGCTGCCCTTTCTCCTCAGGTCTTTCTTGTTGTTGGTTGTTTCGTGCACCTTTTTACGGACAATTTATGACTGCGCCAAGTGATTTGCATGCGAAAGCGAAATTCGAAATTAGTTGGCTAAGTTTACTACAGGCCGATAAACTGGGAAAACAGTAAGCAAAGAACAATCAAAAGTAAACACTTGGCAAAGAGAGAGGAATGAAAAGCGAATGATCGAAAAAAGCAAACAAGGAAGTTGAGTGCAAAACAAATTGAGTTAGAATGTCGAGGCAGAAGTGGCAATCGCGAGTAGGGAAGGTAAGTGGCTAATTCAATTGGTATTTTTTTGATTGATTGGATAGCAAAGGCAACAAACAGCACACGCTTAGCTTTTTGTAAGTATGAAGTAAGTCGTGGCGCCTAAATGTATTTTATGGTAATTGTGAGCCACGTCGACGTGATGCGCTGTGTGAACTAATGTGCCGCGCGAAAGTGAAAGGTGGCAGTAAAGCAAATAAACTTTTTTTTTAGAAATATACGAATATGTATACATAATTTATGAAGAATTAAATTTATTACAACAATGCTTGAAATGACAGCAATTAAGTGAATAGGAAGTAATTACTAGCAGTACAGTATTATTTATACAAATCTTATTTGTTAATGCCTCAGTTTAAATAAGTAAATACACTAACAGCAGATTTTCACTGCATAATCGGCATATTTGGCCACCTAAATTATCACTTAAACAACTAACGGGTGATTTTTTAAGAGCTTGATAACTTTTTTTTTAAAAAAAACGCATAAAATTTGCAAAATCTCATCGGTTCTTTATTTGAAACGTTAGATTGGTCCATGACATTTACTTTTTGAAGATAATTTGATTTAAATGTTGACCGCGGCTGCGTCTTAGGTGGTCCATTCGGAAAGTCCAATTTTGGGCAACTTTTTCGAGCATTTCGGCCGGAATAGCCCGAATTTCTTCGGAAATGTTGTCTTCCAAAGCTGGAATAGT